ACCGGAAAGGTATTGTTAAACACCAAGTATCCGACTGAAAGCAATACTTGTTCAACAGCTCAACAACACATACGACCTTGGCGCAGGAATCAGCTAGAAAATAACAACAGCTACCGGGGATAAAACGGCCGCAGCTCGAAACTATCCACTCTTTATTCTCTACAGCTGAAGCTAGAAAGCCCCCCTATACGCCTTCATGGCGTGGAGTCTGCTCAGAATAGTCTTTACGTTCTCATTTCACGAACTATTTTACTCGTGCGGTATAAAAATCTGTAGACTACTCGGTATTGGGCGGAGGGATACTATAACCCATAATTTTTTTTCTGAAAATTATGATGGATGTTGGGCTAATTTATTATTGATGATGAATTATAAAGACGTAGAATAAAATGAAGTTTGTTTTAACATATTTGACATTTCGTCTGGAGGTTACGTAGGGGAATTATAATAAAATAAATTTAACGTGACGAAACCTGGACTTTGACATACTGATCTCTCGAATGTCAGACATGTTGGTACTGAATTGTTCAGTGTTTCTTCTATGCTTATCGATGTTCAGCTAGCGTAAGTTTGTCCTGTCTAATATTATTCATACAGCATCCTACTTTCTTTGTTCCCTAGAATTTCCAAGAGCGAAAGTGCTTTATTTAGTAAAATTACACAGCACAATTTCACTATTACAAAGAATAATACATATAGGATTACGCGTGGCAATTAAAGGAGTGAAGGGGGGTAATAATATCGATTAACGAGAAGTAAAATCTAATATAGAAATTAAGAAGAATAACAGATGTTCGCTTCGGAGAACAGTGAAATTCCAAAAAAACATTATTTTCGCCACATCACGGGTAACGACTACAGCAGAGCAACAATTGTATCTAATACTATCGTTGCAGCGTGGCCCAAAGACATTTCTGTAACAATGTGATTCAATTTCAATGTATCAATGCGCTGAAAGACACGTACAGGTGCGTAACTTGTCGATCGCTCACGCTAAGACGTAAAGAACGCCTGGAAAGCTATTTTGCTGACATGCTGGGACATTCCATGTCATATCTTTCATTCAAAACAAAATCTATTCAAGAGAAAATGCTGTATTTTGTGTCAGATATTTCTGCTTGCGGAAGCCAATGTATTTAGTCTTATTGCGGGGAGTCGGCTTTACCCGTTCATTTAATTGTTGTTTCAAACTATCAATTCCATGCAACATCACTGAATAAATTACGAATGAACCTAATATTATCCCCTTTGGATTGAGACAGGACCTTGAGACAATTTTCCAACACTCAACATAACCTTGTAGCGCTCCCCCGTTCAATGACGGCCGCCAGCGAAATTAGGATGAGAGGTCTGACCCAGTCAGCTGAACACGAAGTGGGTCAGTGTGACGAGACAACCAACGCGGCTTTCATCCGGTCGCAATAAATTTGCTATCATCGTCATCCAATATAAAACTAGGCTTCAATCTAATGAGAAAAAAAAATTGACAGTGGAACCAAGGTTCCGGAGAACCTGACGTAAATACGTATTTGTATTTAAATTATATTTAGCCAATAAATACAATGAAAGGAAGTTTATATATTAGCTTTATTCTAAATATTTCCTTTATACATGCTTTACAATTGAGTAAAGTTTGATTAAGACATTGCTTATTTAACTTGAATTAGTTACGATTAAGATGGGTTTGTGGTAGCTGAAATATGTTATAAAATTTGTACACGTTAGAGTACACCATATCTATACAAGATTTTGATCCAGTAGTAATACATTGAGGATTTGACATCAACATTAAGCCAAACGTTTCCTCCATAAATGTGACAAAGCTTTGATTTTCCTCCTTTAAATCAATGTTAAAATCTCCTGCCAATATTACGACCTTCTGTGGCCATAATTGAAAACATCTCTGTAAATTTGGTGGCAAACGTTCCCAAATGACTCAAAATAATCTCTTACAATCATCAGGTGTGTTATTAGAAATATACAGGGCAACAATTAAAACTTGACCATTTTCGGTCCTTATTTACACATTGTTGGTATGGATCTTACACATTTTCGTAACTAAAGCTGTTTTTGCGGAATGACCCTTCTGTATAGACGTATTTACGTCAAAAGAAGACAAGCCTAATTCTCTTACACGAGTTCACAAATGCAGATGAAAACATTAAATGTGATGAACATTAATAGTAAATAGGAATCACTTACCTGAAACTTTGTTCAATTGTAAGAGACCACGACGTCCACCGGCAATTATCAATTTAATCAAAATTAAAATGGAGAGATTTATTAATAATTCTTATATAAGATAAGTAATTGCGATATTCTAAAACTTTTTAACAGCACAATATTATCTACTCTACGACGTAATTATTATATAAGAGATTCACAGCTCAGCTCTTTCCACAATAACGAAAGCAGATTGTTGACGGCAGTAATGAAACACAACAATGTCCAGTAAACAGACGACATAACAGTTATTTTCTTAGGTAAAGGAGTAAAGCATTGTTATGCACGCAGGAGTTCATATAAAATCTGACCATTGTCAGTCCACATTTACACATTGTTGGTATGTATCTTACACATCTTCGTAACTGACCCTTCCGTATAGACGTATTTAGGTCAAAAGGAAACATAACCTACAAACAGGCATTTACTTTTAGGTTGTCATGCTCACACCAGTGACGGATATGAGAGAATGTCGCATTCGATTTTCGATTCAGGGCGTTTTTTAATATCTCGAAACGAATATACATACGTACTTCATCAATAACGTTATTCGTATGTCTTCTGGAGTGCGCACAGACATTGAACCAATGGATCGTACTGTGGGACGTGTCTCAGTAAACACGCCAGATTCCTGTGTAATTCCTCACTTTCCAGTCTCAATAAACTATTACAGTCGTTGAAATTGCGTTACGTTTCATGAATTAATCCACACGAAATGTTTCTATAGCGTAAAGCGAAGTACCAAAGATTTCTAATACAACAGCTTAATACCGTAAAATGTAATGGAATAAAAAAGAACGACCCAGACCAATGCAGGACGACAAAATCCTCTTAATCGATATTTCAACCATAACCGTCACAGGTTATGCGTGCGAGCGTAATCCGTGTAATTATGTCAGTCAGCGTTATCGTTTGCATATTATTTGAAACAGGTGAGATTTCAGGTTCTCACGGGGGCGATACGTGGAATGCTGTTTTCTGGGTTGTTGCGCCGTGTAGTCTGGTAGATGTTAACCAGATTTATAAAGACCGTCACAGAAGGCAGAATTTGAAATAGTTTTCTAACAAATGCAAAATAAAGTAGCTACCAGTCTTGAAACAACAACACTATATTCACTTTATCTCCACTTAAGCTTTTCATACCACCACGGTGGTCTAGCGGTTAGGATGCTGGCCTTGTAATCCTGGGGTCTCGGGTTCGATTCCCGGCGGTGCCACGAATTTATAACTTGTGTTGGGCAAGGCCGTGGTCTAGGCAACACGGAGTTTTCCTCCGGGGGCTTCCCCGGTTTCTCCGTGGCATCCCATTCACACACAGAAGAAGGCAATGGCAAACCACTTCTGGATCATCTGCCAAGAACGTATATGAACAGGTCCCAGTCCGAGAAAAGGATGGAAGGATCCTGTTCATATGGACCTGTCGTCAGACAGAACACTAAATAAATAAATAAGCTTTTCATAATAGCATAAGTACGTTTTTCTCATTTCCCTGCAGAAAACTCGAGATACTTAACCTCAAGGACGAAATTCGAATCTGGGGTCTCCGTTATTGGAAGCAGAATTACTTTCCACTCGACCGTGACGGTCGGTGAGGTAGGTTGTGGGCCTCGAGGTAAACCTCTTATGTATTTGCACACATCGGAACTAGTTTTGATAACCGCGGGGTCACTCGAATAAGAAGCCAAGTAGACCGCAGACCTAACCTAACTGTGGTTATTATTACAGCAATTCCGAACGCATAATCAGAACCCAATAAAAAGCCCACGTATTAGCGCATGCGTACAAATAACTAAAATTGTTCGTTGATACGTCGGACAACGGACAAGTTAAAAATTCAGATAATCCTTAGGACACATGTTTCTTGGTTCGAAATCACGTTCAAAAATTATTATCTGCACCAAATTAAATCGTATTTTATATTTTAATTAAACAAACATATGTAATTATTTTAATTTTTAATGTTTCCACGTGCGTTCTTTGCATTATTAAACTCTTTAATTAAAAATATAATAAAAAAACATTATTTTCTGTCATTCTGTGTGGGCTGCATGAGTGACGGTGCAGATAATTTTTTCAATAAAAATGACTTTGGGTAAGTACTATTTTAGATTATCTCGTCATTCTTAACAGGCAATTTACTAACATTCAGATCAAATAATAATTAATTATCGGTGTGTATACCTGACAAATAGCTATCTCTGCAGATTATTATAAGAACTTTGTTTTCACTTGGAACGGGATAAGCTGTTTTTTTAAGAGAATTATGCAGAAATTAGTTAGAAGACGACGTGATACGAACAGAATCGCTTCGAAAACTGAATTGTTCGTGCGTAATATAGGTACAGAAATTACCGTGTATGGCAATTGAAGCGTTAAAAATTGAAGACCAACCTCGTCTAAATAATAATTAAGAATTTAGTCGATTCTTCAAAGAAAATTCAATGCACCAAATTAACGTTATTTCAAGTCGAATCCGTTCCTCACACGTAGGCGTAAACAGAAATAAAAATTTGATTGTACAGATTGTGTTCGTCAGGAAAATAACAATAACCCGGCGCTTTCTCTCACACATCACAAGACCATGCACTCCAAGGGCATTCAGCAGAACGGGCATCTAAGTATGTCCGAGTTCCGTTGTCTTCATCATATATGCATGCCTAACAACTTCGTACGTTTGTGTTGACGAAAGTAACTGAAAAACAGAGATTCGCAAAAAGATGTATACACATTATAATACGCTGGGCGCTAATCAATTGCTCATCGCTGTCAACTGTTCCACGAAGCTAACGGCGGCCATTTTGAACACCTACATTCACTAAGTGCCAATGCTGACGTATGTAATGGTTCAGTTTATTAAAATATCTTTATTTCGTTCATTGAATGTGTGTATACATCTTTTGGGGGCATCCTGTGTTTCATTACTTTGCAATTGCAATAAATATCAATGCCAGTGAATAACACAGAATAGCAATAATGTATCTAAGAAACATGCACAGCCTAGCAGGTTGTGTTCCATTTTTCTTTAAATTCCTCCCCGCGCTCTTTCCTTGGAACAGCCGGATAAACAATACAGCACCAGAGAATAATAGCAAGTCACCCAGTCAGAGTTTACCGACAACTGACAGATGAACATCGTTCGTCCGCTAATGTGTTGTTTCGGTGGACGTAAAACATTCCTTGATCGAAAAGAAATTTGTCTGTCTTCCATGGACCGTGATCAGTCAAACATTCTCTTCCGGGATCACACAGATTTTGGCGTAATGTGATCTGAGGCTGCAACTAATGAGCTAATACAAGTTGCGCTGTTACAGTCAAGCGGTGCAGAACTGTGAGAAAGCGGACAGCTTCTAGTCACAGCTGAACACAGTTGCGTAATATCATGACGATATCGATTCCAGAACACTCTTCATTACACAATGCCCCTGAAAACCTAACGTACCTGTCCTTTTACTCTATAATTTATTCCTATTTTTTTCCTCTAGCCTCTGCGTCCAGACCAACTCTGGGGCCCACCCAGTCTCCTCTCCAATGGGTACCGGGGTCCTTTCCCGGGGGTAAATCCGGCCGGGGCGTGATGCTGACCACTCACCCCCATCTAGTGCCGAGGTCAAGGAAGAGAGGAGCTATACCTCCTCTCCCCCCAAGCGCCTTTATGGCACTTAGTGGGACAAACTTTACTTTATATGGACTCTAGTAGGACCTTCCCACAAATTATTTTCGTCTTTGACGGAATGGTTTTTTCTTTTCATTGTAGAACTGAATACGAGTGTTGCACTAGCACACGCTCCCCCTAGTCCGTCATCTACTGAACTGTACACACCAGGAAAGTCAATCCACTTGCCTGTAAATGGAGGTAAGTGCATGAATCTGTGAATTTAAATCATCATTATCATCAACATGCAAAATTTTTTTTGTAATGCTTCAGATTCAACAAAGATATAACTACAATTCAAATAAATTTCAGTTGGTACATGGCGGGAGATAAGTCTGTCACGAAGGAGCAACGCTCAACCCTTGGAGCGTGACAGTGGGAGCTTGAGGGCATCTTCTGCGACGTCCTGGACGGTACAAACATCTAGCCTACAGAAATGTAAGAGTACGGCATGGATCCTGGGTCTCCCTCTCATGTGGCTTGCCATCAGTTACTGAACTATATAACACCCAGACATCTAACTCATATCATAAATAAGTTTGTTTAAACACGTTCCAATTTAAACTTGTAAGTGGTGGAGAGATTTAAGAACCCTGCACTCAAATTTCATCAAACTTTTTCACCTTTCTGGCACACTGTGCACAAAACTGGCCTATCGTTTGTCCATTCACAATAAGAAACTAGTACTGAGCTCAAACCAGGGTAATATTCATATATAAATTCAAAGATTTTAAAGAAATTACTTGGAAGTGCGGATGACACGCTCCTCTATTTTCAAGTTAATTTTGGAGATTCAAATCCACAACCTTAGACATCACGACGTCTTGACTTCAGCATCATTTCTGCGTGCTGATTACAGCCTTGCAACCAAGTTGGAAAGTTTCGGATTGAATTCCAAGGCTGATTGTCCCGAGTGCGATACGAGTCTTTTCATCAAAACTTTATTAATGGGAATATAAAACGATGCAGACACGAATTCCCTTACAATTCCTGGATGTCTCATAACACAGATTTAAGACATTTTATAGCTAATTTTAGAGAAAGCTCTAAGGACACACATATCAAAATAATCAGTAAAAGTATCCCCATGCTCAAGCACTTTGCCCTGAAAGAGTACGGGGCGCGCACAAAAAGCTCTACGTAGATGGTTGCCTTCTGGGTTGTAGCGCCACGTAGTTTGGTAGAAGTTTACCAACCTCTATCATCATTGCCCTGAAGACAGAGGCAACACAGACCTCTAAAACGTCTATCGGACTACACAACGCTACATCCCATCTACATATTCACTGACGTAAAAACTCCAAACCGTAAAAGCTCCAAGCATTCTAGACTTCAATACTAGATGGAGGTGAGCGGTGAGCTTTATGCTCCAGCTGCTTTACCACCGGGGAAACAGGCCCTGATACACACGAGATAATTGACAACGAGCCTATGAACATCCTAACGTCAGACTGAACACTGCGATGGAGAGTCAGGAATCAAACCTCATTTCCTCAACTAACAGTCACATGGAACAAGAGGATGATTAAGTGTGGAGAAATGGAAAGGACGGAGAAAGAAGCGGTCGAAGGCATTATCAGACACTGACCTGGACGGACTCATACAAACCACAAGGTACATAGCCACTGCGTCTGCGTGAGCCTGTTTGGAGTGAAGCATTAACAAAAGCCTTCATATCCACATTAATTATAAATTTATTGTGTGATATCTATGGAGAAATAAAACTTGTGAACTGTAGGATGAAGGTAGCCACCGAGAAAAATGTGAAGGTCAAGAACGAAATTTATGTACCAACAAAAATTTAAAAAAAAACAACTGAAGGACAGTAAAAATGACTGGTCCATAAAAGGCTTATATTCACCGATATATTTTGTGCGGTGAAATTACTATCTGCCTTTGGATTGGAGGAAGGCTTTTAAACTGTCGTAAGAAATGTTTACGCAGTGATGCATTAATTTCTTTATACTTTAATAAAGTTTACATGTAAATAAGCACTATTTGGTTCTGAAGTTACACGTATATATAAACAAAAATCATTTTTCTTTGTTCATTCATTGAAATAAGACGTTAATGTGCTCACTTATTCTGTACCAAAGAGGACTAGATCCAGACCATTTCACCAATGAAGTTACGTGGCACCTCTGTGACACGTAAATTTAACCGTGTTCAATGAAAGAAATATATTTGTACAAAGAATATAACATTGTAAACAAAAATGGAATTTTGTCTTATGGCAATAAGTAAAAAGATCAAAATTGTCATTCTGTGCATTTTATGAGCTAATTGACTTCACTGCGTTTCAATAAGTCAAATTCTCGATTCTTATAATTCACACTGATTAAAACAGTAAATTGCCTTCGGCAGTCTACAAACATGGATAGGAAGTTCACGTACATTACCTAAACTGTTAAAAAAACAATGTGGTGTGTTATTGCGACATTATTACCTGGTCATACGCAAAATGTTTGGATCAAGTTCACCAGAAGCTCATAAAACTGAATCCATTACAGAGAAAAATTTAGTAAGCCAAAAGTTCATTTTTATATATATTTATATAAACAAAAACATGTATGTAAATCACATTCTATAGACATAAATAAATAATTTAATCATCACAATATAATTTGTAAAATATTCCTTTACAAAAGAAAAACCTCTTTTTAATCCCAACCTGATATTTTGAAAACCTTAAATCCGTACAAATTATATTTCTTTGTAGAGCGACCCGCTAACTTGGTGTCACTACAGTAATTACATGCGTTCTTTCTCTGCATGCACTGTATTACACAGTCAATGCAGATAATACTGTGGCATCACAGCAACATAAAAAAACAGTTTGTTAAATATAATGCATCCACTCCATGTGATGGGAATGTGAATTCTGGTCTAGAGAAGCTGATAAAAGTCACTTGAAATCTAGAATATAAACTGGATTCAATGTTAATATATTTGGTGTTAAATCAACTGCAAAGGCGAGGCAGCAAATGAGAAATGATAATATTATCATAAATGGTGAATTGTGAATCACAATGTTCCTCCCTCTCCGATTATTAGGACTTCACCTGTTATGATCATGAAAAAATTGAAAATTTCCATCTTTTTTCCCCATTCTTTACATATGAACGTGTAATTTATCATTTCTTAAGCGACCCACCCACGTACGAGTCTGGTTTGCTAGTCCGGCTTGGCTCGGGTTCCATCGAGCCAAACTCGTTTGTGGGTGGGGTGTCACGAGCTGAGTCTGCTATGCATGTGTGGTGAAATACATCCGAGCCTGGCTCACGAGTCAAGCTCGCCGAGCCAGACTCGCAAGTCAGACTCGTACGTGGATGGGCCGCTTTAGGGATCTTATTCATTCCTTGAGTGCATTCTTTTCAATTTCTTCTACACTGTTGTACATAATATTTATACGAATAGGACTGGACATCACAGGCAAGTCGTTAGCACTCATTTCAAATCTCAGACTGAAGACAAACTATCCTCAGCGAGTCTTTTTTCATGATTTTACTCAGTCTCTTCAGGAAATGCCACAAGAATTAGGTTATTACCACTTCTTTCCACATCCTTTCTTATTCATTACTCATTAATTATCCTATCATCCAATACTATATATTCTGAGCTAGTGACAGCATCATTAAATAAACCAAAAATAAATAAGTACCGGCATACAAAACAACTCCACTAGCCTCTCCTATTCAAATGTCATCAATCAACTTTCTTTCTAAAGATATACTACACCCCACTGAAGCAGATGAAGCTATGGCGACAGTAAATAGTCATTTTGGTGCCAACGGTAATCCTGGCACAGAAAGCCTGTCTCGAAACTCAAAGAGAAGCTGCTTATTGACTCGTCAAATGTCACACAAAAAGCAGAACCTGGCAATGAATCTACATAACACTTTCTAGTATTAAATATTTGATTATCAGTTAAAAATGTACGCCCACATCTGATAACCTACGGGAAAGGGCGTGTTACATTCCTCGTCATTATCATAAACATAGAACAATATTGGCGTCAGCAAGTACAACAAGATCAGTCATGAAAATGGGTATAATAACGTCAAGTGGGTGACGATGCTGCCGCTTCTTTGGCTTACCTCTATTCTGGTCATTCTGCCCCTCACTAGAACAATGTGAAAATTAAAATCTAGAAGACACGCCTCCTCCACGGGAATCAGAGTGTGATACCAGCTCATCTGCAACTTTCTCCACAATGTTACAGCTCTGATACGGTTTAGACAGACTCTGCAGGCGGTAGCCAAATGTTTGGAGATATTCCTGTGCATTCTTACTCAGTGGCGGCACGTGATCTGAAAAACAAGAATAACCTTAAGCTTTTCATACATGTGGTATTTAACCTTCAAAATCCACATATCACAATTTGACAGTCTAACTGGTTGTGAACCGTAGCAGCATTATGCTAACCATTAAACTCCAGAGTAAACCCACAAAGCCAGAAGGCCATGTTCTAATTCACAACATTTAAAACATGTCCACTGGCAGTATCGGCAATCACTCACTGAAAACAGACCCATAGACAAATTGTAATTGTTCTGACATACGTTGTGCGTACTTTTGAAAGTGAGAGGAAAAACCAGTCATGATAGCAGATGACGGCTAAATTTCAAACCAGATCCTCCCAAATACAAGCTCTAAATGCGATTTCATTGAGTCTGGTTTGATTTCAGCGCTGTATAATGTGAAGTCACTACATAAATGCCTATGTTTATATATAACATGGGGGTCCGCAGTGGAAGCGCGGTCTGAGGCGTGGGCCTTGTGCCACTTGGTCGCTGGGACCGTGGGTTCGAGTCCCACTCAAGCAATGGATGTTTGTCCATGTTTTTCTGTGTTATGCTGTCCTGTGTACAGGTAGAGGCCTTGCGACGGGCCGATCCCTTGTCCAAGGAGTCCTACCAAATGTCTACAGATCAAGCAAACAAAAAGTTGGGACCCACAGTGCTCAGGCACTTGAAGAACAGGTCATTCCCAGTATCCAGTATATATAACATATCTTCCTCTCACTATCAACGTTAGTAAAACCAAAAAAGGCTACAATAAAAAGTAAAGATAACTTCCTTTCACACAATGAATGCATATTTTCAAATTATGTAATTCTGCAGACACATCAAACAAAAAGTGATTTATCAATATAATATATACAATTATCTTCCTAATATCTTATTTAACCATGTTACACAACTAACCTTCAAGAAAAATACTCTTATTTCCATCTGCAATTTGAAAACGAGGGGCTTCCACACTCCATGTAATGTTCGTGTCCAGTACAAGAAGACGTGACAGAAGCTGCGCTGCCACTGTCATATCCGCTGAACCAAGCACCAGTCTGCGTCCACACACACGTCTCCTTTCCACAGCAATAATAGGCGTAGCCAACGATAACGGACGTTTGCCTGGAAACGGGCTGTTCTTTCCCACCCCAAAATTGACGAGTGCATTATTTAATACAAAGCCTCCATTTGTAAGCAACTGTGAGCCAAACCATGTATTGAGACCACTGAAACAGAAAGATATATTTCAAGTTGGAGTTCAACCACAACAAACAGAAATCAATACATGCAACGCATACAAAATCTAACCTAACAACAGAGACATATATGTCATTCAAATCCACTGCAGCAACATGGGAGCTCGCAGATTGTGTCAACGATCCGAAATTGACTTCGCCTCTCTCATACTCATATTTTTGAGCAAGGAAATTTGGATCACCTGAAACATAAAACATTTATTTTAATCTAGATGAGATTTCAGGTTCTCACAGCAGCAAGTATTCTGGTAGAAGTTTACTTTATACCAGACTACGAGGTGCAACAACCCAGAAGGCAGCCACACAGCACATAAATTATTCTCTTATAAACATAAAATCACCATACAGTTCTATAAATTATTACCCCAAATGCCACGAAGTGCCTGTCTATAAATGTTTTCAGATGCATTTACTAGACTGAGAATGTGCACCAGAGACATTCCTTGTCCACCTCTTGAAGAATTTATAACAGGAAGTAATCCCAAGGTTGCCAAGAGAGCTGGACCTCCTGATGGAAGGTCAGGAACAAAGATATTGAAGTCAGCGAATGTAGCTTCTTGTGCAGAGCGCCTCACCGCCTGGTAAGAGGCTAGATCTTGTTCTGTCATCTTGCCTCCTGCATTTGTAACAGCAACTAGGATACCTTTTGCAAGGCTACCATTATAGAAAACTGAAAAAGAAATGAAATTATGAATAATCAGTATGGCATATACAATTACGCTATACAAAGACTTCAATCAATGTCTGAAAACAGCCTCCACAGGTACAATTTATCAAGAATTTTTCATATATTTTGTTGGCATTATCCACATCATGGTTCTAAAGGCTTTGACCTTAGATGTTTTAATACGATTACTATATTATTCATAACATGTTACCATATTAAATTTTTAGTGCCAAGTTACAATGATTTGTCTCTGAATACTTAGTCTAGAAGCTAAAGATTATTTCTGTTTCATTTTCTCATGCTGGAAGATCGCTTCACGTGATTGAAAAACCTTGCCTAAAAGCTTGAAAATCCCCATTAGTTTCTATTACGGTGGACAGCAAATACAAGCCCGTTGGGTCTTCTTGACTACAGAACTGACAATGAGTGAATTACATGCCGACTGTTTGTAAGACTGTCGTAGTCAGAGTAGTACTTAAGACTGTGGTGACAATTCCAGTGATAATTTCATCAGAAGTGACATAATTTAAACCAAAATGAAATGTAAAGGCAATGAACAGACTGCTGATCCACAGCCTCAAACATTTTTAAATATTCAATATTGGACTGTCACAGTTTTCCAGATATTATTTAGGAAAAAATTGTACCCAATCACCAGTTCCAATTCCTGCCTTGAGATGAGTCATAAAGGTCTTAAAAGAACAGTAACATTATCTTTAGATTTCTAGATAGGCGACAGGAAGACAAAAGATCCTGAACTCAAAAGTAGTATTTTTGTTTCAAGAAAGGAACACAAAGAAATAAATTAAACCAACATCTTAGATAAAAACTGAGTTGTAAGGATAAAATAACATACTTGTATGTGCAGCTAATAAATGTTGCACAAATGAATGGCACTTTTTTTATTAAGAGTGAAAGAGTAATAAGTTAAACTAGGATCTGATTTGGGTGGAGGCCAAGGCTCGACTTCAGGCTGTTGCGCCATAGAAGAAGAAGAGGCATCTGATTACTAAGCTAAGCTATTTACTGCAGACAAATGATGTGGATAAATTAGTGCTTTCTAATTAAGAGAGTTTGCTTAGTAAGAATTAAAGTAAGAGTGACAAGACACAATAACTAAAATAATACCACAGGGTAATTATCAGTATCAATTCCTGGCAAAGGCGTTGGAATTTTTGTCTTAAAAATCATATCCACAAGAACTGTGTTAATAAAGAAGTTATTTACAGCAGATGGAGTACCTGGTACCCATGAAGTTAGTCCACCACCAACCACCTAGATGAAGTTTGGAAAGTGAGATGGGTATTAATTACCGACCATTAGGTCCTTTAACAGATATCAACTCCAATGTAGCTGCCAATTCAGACATGGTCAGGTTCTGGCCGGCTTCTAGCGGTGCCGTCCAATTAAAAAGTTTGCCGTTGAATTCATCGAGATCCAGATGAGACTTTGCAGCAAACAATGTCTCAGGAACATAGAAACCTGTTCTGTAAACATGTAACATGTCATACTATTTGCTAACTACATGGCAGAAAGCATCATGCATCCATAAGGTTCATCACAAAAACATTCCCTATCCCGAGCCAGTCCTGACCAGCTCGCGTCATCTATTTCTCCAACATCCAATTTAGTATCATCTTCCCAGCTATACTAAGTATCATCAAATGTAATGACCGAGTGGTTAGCTATGTCGCTTCATATTTGGGATGTGCCAGATTCAAACCCTGGCCCAGAAACCAGCCATTCTTTCGGAGGTTTCTCATAGTTTTCCTGAGTCATTCCAAGCAAATGCTAATACCTTAAATTAGGCCATGACCACTTTCATCGATATGCTTTCCAATTCATTATTCATTAACCATCCTATGACTTAGTTATATTATATGAAACACAGAGTGCCATTAAATAAGCAATAAATTTACTACTTACTTGTTGTGTGGCCACATTTAAAATCAGTATTACTGAATTTCTGGAAATTTTTCCACATACATGGTGTTTTAAAAAATGGATCTGTTTAAGTACTCATGTGAGAAGGTGGGGTAGATTCTACTCGGGTGAATCCATTAGAAAGAACTAGCCTCCCTTTTCAAGGACCTGAAATATCCGTAGTTCAGTAATTGAAGTTAACTATTGCTAATGTACCGACCTAACTAGGTACTACCACCTTTACACCCGAGGATGAAAACGGATCCATTTTCCAAAGTGCCGTGTTCTTTTAACATTAGACAATGGACAAGTCTGAAAATCCTGTAATAATAAAATCTGCCCCATTTCTTTCAATAAATTCATATGTCATATGGTTGCTGCAAGACTTATTAAGATGTGACTACAGATTATAAATTCAGATGGCGAATAATTCATCGTACACAGCCTCTCATGATATGAAACACTTACCTGAAAGCAAGAGACTGCAGTACTTTCCAGCCCAAAATCAGCTGCAACTGGCCACTCCCCAGTACAAAACAAATTATATACACATGCTCCATTTATTATTTGATTTGGCCCATTACATACACAAAGAGTTTCTACTTCTCGTACCGAGCAATCTGAACTGCTGGCGTGATGACATCTTTCCATGGTAATTTCCCATGCAGCTGATGAGCCATGGCTAGTCCCCTCAGCACACCTGGCACACCCACATAACTGCCTGGTGCATCATTTGAAATACTGATGGAAGCGGGTGCTGCTTCTCGAAAATCAATCACGTCTAATACTTTTTGCTTGCGATGGTTATATATGATCATAAATCCACCACTGAAAATAACAAAAGTAGATCATACACAATATTAAACAGAACAGAAATAAGATAGAAGGTTTCCTGCTGTAGAGTACAATAAGTTTTCTAAGGCATCTGTGACATGTGTATGTCCTCGTAACCGGGATGAAAATCATATTTGAGGACAACTTCTTGCAAGCTCTTTTCAGTCTTCTCACGAAATTTAAACACTGGTGGTCTGAATTTGACTTGCAGTAATTTCAAACTGAAATATACATCTAGGCAGACAACACTCGTGCATTCAGCTTTACAATTCTTCTTTTGATTTACTTAAAAACATTATATATGGTCATGAGAATATATAACGTCAAACTAAACATCGTGGTCACATGTTTAACACACCCACTGGGTTAAAATCTCAGCCCAGAGACCAGCCATCTTGACTGTTTTTCATGGTTTTCCTCAGTCTCTCCAAGCAAGTCTGGCAACAGTACAGGCTGCATAATAACCTACTTACCTGTGGTTTATTTAACAAACCCTATCAGTAGCTGGACTGGAGAGGACGTGGAAGGAAACAATTATAGCCTAATTTATGGAGAGGACATGGAAGGAAACAATTATAGCCTAATTTAGGGTGCAATCCCAGCATTTGCCTGACGAGAAACCACACACAGGACAGCTCAAGGCATGTCCAATATGTGGTCTTGCGAGCTCAGATTCAAAGCACCATATGCAGTTTCACCACGGCTTAAATTCATAATGCACAAGCCACTGGTTCCAAACCCTTTAGACCATAGCCAAAGGGCAATCTGGCCCATAGAACACTAACGCTGCTGTTCACATCACCTCATACTTACCCGCCTAGTCCTGTTGCATGTGGGTTCACCACTCCTAAACAGAACACTGAAGCAACAGCAGCATCAACAGCATTTCCACCATTTTTCAGGACATCAGTTCCGATGACAGAGCAGTGAAAGTTGTCTGTGGCAACACTACCATGCGGAATGAGCTGCAAACATCAAGCTGTCTTATCAAACTTCACAGAATATATACAGTAATCACACAATATATTTACAGGGAGCTTTTCCTTTAAATAATACCTTCTTTAAACTACTTACCTGTTTTATAAGATGCACATTTGTACCTTGCTTATTTTATGATGCTATTTATGTACTTACCAAGTACAATAGATGACCAAATAGTGAGTAAAAAGAAATGGAGAGAAAACAGTCATTGCTAAGTGTGAATTGCTCTTTCTCCAAGTTCCTTCCACTTTATGTGGGTTACATAAAAATTTGGCACCTTCACCTATCCCTCCCTGCCTTTCCATACCTCTTCCTTCCTTCCTTCCATGTAACACCTTTCTTAATCCTTTCTTCCCACCTTGATCTCAGTTTTCCTCTTGGGTACTTTCCCTTTACTTTCACTCACTCATAATACATGTCAATATCATCTTATTTTGTTATGTATTAATTTATCTTCCAGTGTTCTATCTAGGCATTTTCCATGAAGCTGAAAAAACTGCAGAACATCTCACTCACTTTACTCTTAGCAAGGTTTAAAAACAGATACCTGCCAAATGTCTTAGCTGCGTGATCGCTGAATTAACTTTCTCAGTCTTTCAAGTTTTCCACAGCTACGGGCACAAATGCTCCATCATGCATCAACATGTCATAATTATGGAGAAGTTGGATCTTTCAATACATCACAAGAGGTAGAATATGGGTGTTATGTGGCATTAACAAAACTATCTTAAATTAACTTTATTGACATATCCTATTTTATCTGGAATGTGTAATAATATTATACACATACAAAAGATTCCAAAATTATACCTGATAATCTCCATAGTAGATCTGAACAGCTAGAGCTATTATCACAGCCAAGGTTAAAGCCACAAAGCACAGAATAATAATACGAAGGCTGGCACCATTGTTATCAGCAGATCCACTGCAGCATCGAGTAAGTGACCTCAACCCATGGGTTCTATTGCCAGACCCACCACTTCCTCTATATAAACTTTGCTTCAGGGGATATGCCTCTGTTTGCTCAGGACTGCGATATGGCCCAGGGATGCTTGGCGTTGGTTCACCTATAAGAAGGAGATGTAATAAACTGCCAAATTAACTACAAAACTGATCACATTATATTGCAAGGAATTATTTGAGAAGTTTAATATTTTTTTACTATCCTGCAAATTCTTGCTCTAATTATTATTCATTGTAAACAACATACAAAATTTTCAAATAAATTCAGACATTCACAATATAAAATCCACATATGACTTTCAGGGGCTAAATGCTAACATCAGTAAACACCACAAAAGAGTTTACTATACTGGATTTTGGTTATTCAATAATATTTCATCTATTATGATAAGTCAAAGTTATTATACAAAAAATACGGCACTAAAAGACTATGAAGGATCTATAGAACGTAAATAAACTCTATTCTAATCTCTATATGAGTAAAAACTGGACTGATAACATGCCATCACGACGAATGGCACAATTTTACTGTTGGAAGCCTATTGTTCGACCTTTGTACCCACCAATTTCATTTGCTGTGGAACCATTCATGTTATTCGTGAAAAAATCTTGTAACTTCAAACATACACGAACGAACAGTACATTATGCGGCTTATTAACTGATTAATCTATGTTAAAAACCACACGACCAACTTCCCAGCTCGCAAATAACGGTGCACCACAGATAACCTAAACAATTCCGAACAACGTTACTTCTTCATAAATGGTTCACATCAACGGTGCAGTGTAATTAAACAACGTACGGTACAAGCACATAGATTTATTTTCGTTCCAATGTCTCCTTGAGTACTGAAGCGGAATAAAACAATCAAATAAGTGAAGAATATTGAACTTCAGATTAACCCTTTAAACACGAAGGTTCATCACCGATGAGCCATCTCTATTAACAATAAATAATTCTGCATTTATTCCACAATTTGTATTTGTGTGTTTTATATTCTCAGAATAAACGGCAATTACTTCCTTAAACCGCATTAACAAAGTTATCTTAACAGTGAAGCCGTATTGCGTTTTCTTTGCGGTGGGGACTGAATTATTAAATATGATGTAGGTGACCTTTAGATTCAGTCGGTAAAGGACAGTGCAACACCTATTAACATCCCATAGATCATTCATACAAGCCACAGATAATACAAAGATATGTAACATTTCATAATACCAACGGAACCACTTGTAACACCGGACTTCAAAGTTGCTATGGACCAAACCTTTTTTTGTTGACATCATTTGCAACAATCTGTAATTTTATTAATTAATAAAACATATGCACTGGAATTTACACAACCTATAGAACAAGTGTTAAACCATCACACATTCTTGTATACACATCACTTTTACTATATAATGTAACTGTATGGACCACCACCATGCTAGGGAATATGTATGTGAATGAGACAAAAGCTATTTGAAAAGTAGAAAACTTTGAAAAACTGCTGCATTAATGTTCCAGAAAATCGACCATTTAAATTGCCTTAGTTTCTGCATAAAGTAAAATTACACACCGACGTCAATATTCACTGCGAAAGGCTGAATTTAGAAGTAGGTAAAAAGAAGTTAAAAAATTTGGTTTATAGTCTTTCGGATTATGATGCCATAAAGGCGGTTACTTTTCAGAGGAGCTCATAGTCCGCGACTTGAGGGTAGGAAGTGATGGCCTTAAGTTTCTCCGAAATGTTGATTATCACCTGTAACACCGCACACCGTCACGAAACAGACGGTTATAATCCGAAAAACGTCCTGTTTTTCATTAAATATGTTACTAATAAAAAATGCAGTTTATTTAATGGAATAGAATACGCCACTGAAACTAAACGACAACCAAAATTACATTTCTTTTTGGGGGGGGTGGGGGATTCTATCAAAGTCACACAAAGACACATTTAATTTCATTGTGCTTTATGGCACAGACTGGACGACCAGAGTTCGATTCTCGGTTGATACTTGATACTGGCCACTCTGCTTCGTTTAGTATCCCCTGCCTCTTACCGACTGTGTTTCAATGTGGTCAACAAGTTCGCTTTACGTCATTACTCAGAACGGTCAATGCATATTAAATTACATACCACTCATCGATTGTCATTTGTTCTTGGAAATAATTAAATACAATGTTGGTACTCCTGACAATGTGAATGTTACAGATGTTTACGTAACTAAAAGATATTTAGAGAATCCACACATATACTGACCACTTCAAAAACATTTTTTTAGTAATCATTTCGTTTTGTCTATCTGCCCAACTGAATTAATGTTATGATACCGACTAAACCATGCAACGGTCACTTCTTTCATCTAAATCTAGGTCTACCCTTCTTTCTTCTTCATGATGATACTATTTGAGCACCTTTTTTGGGTCATCTGTTGTCGCGCCATTCTCTGGATATATCTGTACCACATTGTTTTAATTAATACAATCCAGTGTTATCTAATTACGTATCTTCCGATTCTTTTTTCCGATATTTTTGCCGATCGTCTCCAGAAATACATTTCCACTGCCGATAATTTGTTTCTTCTTAAAATACCTTACTTATAAACTATATAATATTTGTTTCACTGACTTGTAAAAAATATGGTGGATGACGGTAATCCATGATGTAACAGCACACACGCAGTTAAATAATAAAATGTTACTTGTAATTTTAACTTTGTTAATGTTTTTCTACAAGGTGATAAAATAACTCCTACACACATGTAAGCAGGTTCCCTGCTCCCTACTCTTCTTATTGTTATGACGTTACTAGCAATGCTGCCAGTATATGGAATTCAACTAGGTTGCTTGCGTTATAAAGACCATTCTTTTGACTACAACTTATCGTTCAACATTCAGCTTATGGCTTATACTTTGCAAGATTGGATAATATTTTGATGAAAGCAAAATAAGTGTTTTCATATCGTTACATAATACTCTACAATAAGGAAAAATAATTAAGACGTAACAAATTTGTATATCGACAATGACGAGAAACAATTATACACGTGTTCAGAATGTGACAGGTTTCCTAAATTAGATCCAAGTTAAGTTGTTGGCTGAGTAAACGTGCATAATACACGGTATGTGTGTATATTAGTAAGTATTTTTGTTTCCTCTGTGTTGCTTATGGACGTTGATAAATTGTTTCATTTTTTATTATAACGTCATTGAGAAATGTGAACAAAGAGAAAGTGAAGAAGGCAAGAACAAAGAATTTAAATAAATGTAAGATTTGAGATTCTCGTGTTGGTGAAGAAGTCATTGTTCAATGCTGTGACGCCGTGTGGTCTTCAGGTAGATACCATCGTTCTTGAGAAACATACTGGCTCCATCTTCAGGGCTGTTGATATTGTTTGTAATGCAATCTGATAAAGCCAGCTACTATTTAAACAAAAAAGTTCTTCTCTCTTTTAATACAGACCGGTTACTACTGACTCTTTGATATGGTAATTTATTAAAGATGGAAATATAAAGAAGCCAAAATAAATTTTCGACCAATCCTTACCAATTACAAATTGTGAATAACGCGAGATTTGATCAGTTAGTAAGTGATTTTTACTCTCTTAAAAGCTCTCATGCTCTTTATTTATTGATTTGTAATAATGTACGTGGAAATAAACGTAAAAAAAATCCAAATGGATCTCTTTGTTTTAAACTTCTGCGATATTGATTTCTGTGTCGCCTAGTGCGTTTTTAAAATTAAAACACACCAGTAAATGTTTTGTATGTTGATGGATGATCAGGTAGTTGCTACTTATTTTATTTATTTAACGACGCGTTCAATGTATGAACTATATAGCGTCGGAGAGGATGACGGTGAGTAATGAAGTGGAAAGAAGCTGCCATGCCCTAATTTGAGGTACGATCCGGAATTTGCCTGTAGCGTCCAAAGAAAATCACGATGAACGTAAGTAATGACAACCTGCCTCCGGGCCGAAATTTGAATCCGGGACATCCCGATTATGAAACGAGATCTATCCACTCTACTACTATCGGTCCAATTGCTATTGGTTGCAGACTTACTGGTGGGCACTTTAGTCGCTATGGCAATTATAAATGTTTCCATGAGTTTGAAACGAGTGAAATTGGTGTTAGACAGATGGACAGACTGATGGAAAGGCAGATAAACGTATAAGTTAGGTAGACAAGCTTGTAGATAGATAATATGCATTCCATGGATCCTAGTTAGTATTAGTGATTAAAATTATGTACTGCAGCAATTAGAAGGCACAGTGAAACTGTTGGCTGCAGAAAATATCAAATGATACATGCAAAAACACCAATATAAAAATACTGACACAACAATTATATGATACATTTTGCCTCTTGCTACTTCCTACTGCCAAATGTGGAGGAGACTTGTGTGTTTGCTCACAGCACTCTGCTGAACAAACTGAGACTTGTGTTATACCATATGTATAAGTCGTTACTGTGCTTAATGCATGTTGCAGCAATGTTTGCTTGTGAGGGTCTCTTGTTAGTAGATTGGCAGCACACCCTTGGAAGTCATCAATGTATTGTATTGTAGGTGCTGCACCCCGTTTCCTCCAGAATTTGATACATCATGTGAATGCACATGTCATTACAGAGCAATTGAAAAATATGAGATTGGTTCTCCAGTTCTGTAACTTGTGATGGCACTAACTGTAAAATATTCTTATTCCACAGGAAAATTCAATAACCAGCATTACCAACTGTTAAATGATAGTGGAGGGTCAAATTCAAAAATGTCCTATCCCATGCGCTCTCTACATTTACGTGAAGATGACATTGATGACAAACCTAACATTCCTCCACTAGCAGGTCCTGAGATTGATGATTTGGATCCAACAGATTCTGGAATAGATGATGGCTTATTGCCACCAGGAAGACCTGATGGAAGGCGGGGAAGGAGACCCCCGTCTCACACTCCCTTATTTCCTGGCAGTGGAGTCGACTATCCAGCAGAACCTGGACTGGGGCCGGTACGTTTTGCGTTCTTCCTAGTTGATGCTTCTCCACAGAAAACTTACACTATAGTACATTCAGGCCGCTTGGGTAGGTGTATATAAAATTACCTTTTTTTTTAAAGACCTTCATATCTTGTTGAATCTTGAACCCCAGTACCCATTCGATAGGAGGTTGGATGGACCCTAGAGGTGGTCTGGATACAGAGGCCAGAGGAAGAATTCTTTGCCCCTGCTGGGGATCAAATCCAGGTCATCCAGTCTGTAGTCAGTGACTGTACTAACTGGGCAACCCTGATTCCTAAACAGCATTATTTCTTGTCTTTTTCTCTGGAGGGCACAATATAATATTTTATATTTCTGTACACACAGAGCTAACTAGTAACACGTTCATTATATGTTTACTTCTCTTTTGTCCAGACAGTGCCAAGGAAAGGGGTTGATATTAATGTATACCAGCATAAGAAGACACTTGCGCAAGGTATGATGGATCTGGCGCTACTCTCAGCCAATGCCAATCAGCTTCGATATGTCTTGGAGAGCAAAGGATATCACCCATACTATTACCCTAGTCTTGTCATGATAAGCATGAGCCTTATTTTACAGGTAATTGTTGAGAATATAATAATCTTCTCAAGGACTCTGCTCTATGAATTTAACTAGTTAATTGTAGTTATAATTAGTGTGTATAAAATTAATCTGACATGCAGTGTACAGTGAAAGAAATTGACTGACACACTGCCATGTTTCAATCCTTTGCTACACCTAACACGGTACAATTTAATGCTTGTCCGAAAGAATCTGCAGCATAGTTTTCGTTATAACATGTTCGTTGCCAACAGATTGTTGTAGGTATCGGACTCATCATCAATGGCCGCTACAATATTAAACAAGATGGAGACGTTTGGAAAGCCGACCGCATCAATAACTTCACAGTGATTGGAATATTCCTTGTTACTATCATCAATGTTTTCATATCAGCATTTGGGGTTGCCGATTCGACTTCAAGTGTGGAGCCGCTGAATATAATTGAAAACTTTGATGCTGAGAATGCCACGGTTGAGAATGTCACAAGTTCATAATCTGGAAAATGGAATGGAATTAAATTGTTACTACTTGAATCTCATAATTTTGTATGTGTTATATCCATTTCTTTCAAATTACTATCCTGCAAATTCTTGCTCTAATTATTATTCATTGTAAACAACATACAAAATTTTCAAATAAATTCAGACATTCACAATATAAAATCCACATATGACTTTCAGGGGCTAAATGCTAACATCAGTAAACACCACAAAAGAGTTTACTATACTGGATTTTGGTTATTCAATAATATTTCATCTATTATGATAAGTCAAAGTTATTATACAAAAAATACGGCACTAAAAGACTATGAAGGATCTATAGAACGTAAATAAACTCTATTCTAATCTCTATATGAGTAAAAACTGGACTGATAACATGCCATCACGACGAATGGCACAATTTTACTGTTGGAAGCCTATTGTTCGACCTTTGTACCCACCAATTTCATTTGCTGTGGAACCATTCATGTTATTCGTGAAAAAATCTTGTAACTTCAAACATACACGAACGAACAGTACATTATGCGGCTTATTAACTGATTAATCTATGTTAAAAACCACACGACCAACTTCCCAGCTCGCAAATAACGGTGCACCACAGATAACCTAAACAATTCCGAACAACGTTACTTCTTCATAAATGGTTCACATCAACGGTGCAGTGTAATTAAACAACGTACGGTACAAGCACATAGATTTATTTTCGTTCCAATGTCTCCTTGAGTACTGAAGCGGAATAAAACAATCAAATAAGTGAAGAATATTGAACTTCAGATTAACCCTTTAAACACGAAGGTTCATCACCGATGAGCCATCTCTATTAACAATAAATAATTCTGCATTTATTCCACAATTTGTATTTGTGTTTTATATTCTCAGAATAAACGGCAATTACTTCCTTAAACCGCATTAACAAAGTTATCTTAACAGTGAAGCCGTATTGCGTTTTCTTTGCGGTGGGGACTGAATTATTAAATATGATGTAGGTGACCTTTAGATTCAGTCGGTAAAGGACAGTGCAACACCTATTAACATCCCATAGATCATTCATACAAGCCACAGATAATACAAAGATATGTAACATTTCATAATACCAACGGAACCACTTGTAACACCGGACTTCAAAGTTGCTATGGACCAAACCTTTTTTTGTTGACATCATTTGCAACAATCTGTAATTTTATTAATTAATAAAACATATGCACTGGAATTTACACAACCTATAGAACAAGTGTTAAACCATCACACATTCTTGTATACACATCACTTTTACTATATAATGTAACTGTATGGACCACCACCATGCTAGGGAATATGTATGTGAATGAGACAAAAGCTATTTGAAAAGTAGAAAACTTTGAAAAACTGCTGCATTAATGTTCCAGAAAATCGACCATTTAAATTGCCTTAGTTTCTGCATAAAGTAAAATTACACACCGACGTCAATATTCACTGCGAAAGGCTGAATTTAGAAGTAGGTAAAAAGAAGTTAAAAAATTTGGTTTATAGTCTTTCGGATTATGATGCCATAAAGGCGGTTACTTTTCAGAGGAGCTCATAGTCCGCGACTTGAGGGTAGGAAGTGATGGCCTTAAGTTTCTCCGAAATGTTGATTATCACCTGTAACACCGCACACCGTCACGAAACAGACGGTTATAATCCGAAAAACGTCCTGTTTTTCATTAAATATGTTACTAATAAAAAATGCAGTTTATTTAATGGAATAGAATACGCCACTGAAACCAAACGACAACCAAAATTACATTTATTTCTTTGGGAGGTGGGGGGTTCTATCAGAGTCACACAAAGACACATTTAATTTCATTGTGCTTTATGGCACAGACTGGACGACCAGAGTTCGATTCTCGGTTGATACTTGATACTGGCCACTCTGCTTCGTTTAGTATCCCCTGCCTCTTACCGACTGTGTTTCAATGTGGTCAACAAGTTCGCTTTACGTCATTACTCAGAACGGTCAATGCATATTAAATTACATACCACTCATCGATTGTCATTTGTTCTTGGAAATAATTAAATACAATGTTGGTACTCCTGACAATGTGAATGTTACAGATGTTTACGTAACTAAAAGATATTTAGAGAATCCACACATATACTGACCACTTCAAAAACATTTTTTTAGTAATCATTTCGTTTTGTCTATCTGCCCAACTGAATTAATGTTATGATACCGACTAAACCATGCAACGGTCACTTCTTTCATCTAAATCTAGGTCTACCCTTCTTTCTTCTTCATGATGATACTATTTGAGCACCTTTTTTGGGTCATCTGTTGTCGCGCCATTCTCTGGATATATCTGTACCACATTGTTTTAATTAATACAATCCAGTGTTATCTAATTACGTATCTTCCGATTCTTTTTTCCGATATTTTTGCCGATCGTCTCCAGAAATACATTTCCACTGCCGATAATTTGTTTCTTCTTAAAATACCTTACTTATAAACTATATAATATTTGTTTCACTGACTTGTAAAAAATATGGTGGATGACGGTAATCCATGATGTAACAGCACACACGCAGTTAAATAATAAAATGTTACTTGTAATTTTAACTTTGTTAATGTTTTTCTACAAGGTGATAAAATAACTCCTACACACATGTAAGCAGGTTCCCTGCTCCCTACTCTTCTTATTGTTATGACGTTACTAGCAATGCTGCCAGTATATGGAATTCAACTAGGTTGCTTGCGTTATAAAGACCATTCTTTTGACTACAACTTATCGTTCAACATTCAGCTTATGGCTTATACTTTGCAAGATTGGATAATATTTTGATGAAAGCAAAATAAGTGTTTTCATATCGTTACATAATACTCTACAATAAGGAAAAATAATTAAGACGTAACAAATTTGTATATCGACAATGACGAGAAACAATTATACACGTGTTCAGAATGTGACAGGTTTCCTAAATTAGATCCAAGTTAAGTTGTTGGCTGAGTAAACGTGCATAATACACGGTATGTGTGTATATTAGTAAGTATTTTTGTTTCCTCTGTGTTGCTTATGGACGTTGATAAATTGTTTCATTTTTTATTATAACGTCATTGAGAAATGTGAACAAAGAGAAAGTGAAGAAGGCAAGAACAAAGAATTTAAATAAATGTAAGATTTGAGATTCTCGTGTTGGTGAAGAAGTCATTGTTCAATGCTGTGACGCCGTGTGGTCTTCAGGTAGATACCATCGTTCTTGAGAAACATACTGGCTCCATCTTCAGGGCTGTTGATATTGTTTGTAATGCAATCTGATAAAGCCAGCTACTATTTAAACAAAAAAGTTCTTCTCTCTTTTAATACAGACCGGTTACTACTGACTCTTTGATATGGTAATTTATTAAAGATGGAAATATAAAGAAGCCAAAATAAATTTTCGACCAATCCTTACCAATTACAAATTGTGAATAACGCGAGATTTGATCAGTTAGTAAGTGATTTTTACTCTCTTAAAAGCTCTCATGCTCTTTATTTATTGATTTGTAATAATGTACGTGGAAATAAACGTAAAAAAAATCCAAATGGATCTCTTTGTTTTAAACTTCTGCGATATTGATTTCTGTGTCGCCTAGTGCGTTTTTAAAATTAAAACACACCAGTAAATGTTTTGTATGTTGATGGATGATCAGGTAGTTGCTACTTATTTTATTTATTTAACGACGCGTTCAATGTATGAACTATATAGCGTCGGAGAGGATGACGGTGAGTAATGAAGTGGAAAGAAGCTGCCATGCCCTAATTTGAGGTACGATCCGGAATTTGCCTGTAGCGTCCAAAGAAAATCACGATGAACGTAAGTAATGACAACCTGCCTCCGGGCCGAAATTTGAATCCGGGACATCCCGATTATGAAACGAGATCTATCCACTCTACTACTATCGGTCCAATTGCTATTGGTTGCAGACTTACTGGTGGGCACTTTAGTCGCTATGGCAATTATAAATGTTTCCATGAGTTTGAAACGAGTGAAATTGGTGTTAGACAGATGGACAGACTGATGGAAAGGCAGATAAACGTATAAGTTAGGTAGACAAGCTTGTAGATAGATAATATGCATTCCATGGATCCTAGTTAGTATTAGTGATTAAAATTATGTACTGCAGCAATTAGAAGGCACAGTGAAACTGTTGGCTGCAGAAAATATCAAATGATACATGCAAAAACACCAATATAAAAATACTGACACAACAATTATATGATACATTTTGCCTCTTGCTACTTCCTACTGCCAAATGTGGAGGAGACTTGTGTGTTTGCTCACAGCACTCTGCTGAACAAACTGAGACTTGTGTTATACCATATGTATAAGTCGTTACTGTGCTTAATGCATGTTGCAGCAATGTTTGCTTGTGAGGGTCTCTTGTTAGTAGATTGGCAGCACACCCTTGGAAGTCATCAATGTATTGTATTGTAGGTGCTGCACCCCGTTTCCTCCAGAATTTGATACATCATGTGAATGCACATGTCATTACAGAGCAATTGAAAAATATGAGATTGGTTCTCCAGTTCTGTAACTTGTGATGGCACTAACTGTAAAATATTCTTATTCCACAGGAAAATTCAATAACCAGCATTACCAACTGTTAAATGATAGTGGAGGGTCAAATTCAAAAATGTCCTATCCCATGCGCTCTCTACATTTACGTGAAGATGACATTGATGACAAACCTAACATTCCTCCACTAGCAGGTCCTGAGATTGATGATTTGGATCCAACAGATTCTGGAATAGATGATGGCTTATTGCCACCAGGAAGACCTGATGGAAGGCGGGGAAGGAGACCCCCGTCTCACACTCCCTTATTTCCTGGCAGTGGAGTCGACTATCCAGCAGAACCTGGACTGGGGCCGGTACGTTTTGCGTTCTTCCTAGTTGATGCTTCTCCACAGAAAACTTACACTATAGTACATTCAGGCCGCTTGGGTAGGTGTATATAAAATTACCTTTTTTTTTAAAGACCTTCATATCTTGTTGAATCTTGAACCCCAGTACCCATTCGATAGGAGGTTGGATGGACCCTAGAGGTGGTCTGGATACAGAGGCCAGAGGAAGAATTCTTTGCCCCTGCTGGGGATCAAATCCAGGTCATCCAGTCTGTAGTCAGTGACTGTACTAACTGGGCAACCCTGATTCCTAAACAGCATTATTTCTTGTCTTTTTCTCTGGAGGGCACAATATAATATTTTATATTTCTGTACACACAGAGCTAACTAGTAACACGTTCATTATATGTTTACTTCTCTTTTGTCCAGACAGTGCCAAGGAAAGGGGTTGATATTAATGTATACCAGCATAAGAAGACACTTGCGCAAGGTATGATGGATCTGGCGCTACTCTCAGCCAATGCCAATCAGCTTCGATATGTCTTGGAGAGCAAAGGATATCACCCATACTATTACCCTAGTCTTGTCATGATAAGCATGAGCCTTATTTTACAGGTAATTGTTGAGAATATAATAATCTTCTCAAGGACTCTGCTCTATGAATTTAACTAGTTAATTGTAGTTATAATTAGTGTGTATAAAATTAATCTGACATGCAGTGTACAGTGAAAGAAATTGACTGACACACTGCCATGTTTCAATCCTTTGCTACACCTAACACGGTACAATTTAATGCTTGTCCGAAAGAATCTGCAGCATAGTTTTCGTTATAACATGTTCGTTGCCAACAGATTGTTGTAGGTATCGGACTCATCATCAATGGCCGCTACAATATTAAACAAGATGGAGACGTTTGGAAAGCCGACCGCATCAATAACTTCACAGTGATTGGAATATTCCTTGTTACTATCATCAATGTTTTCATATCAGCATTTGGGGTTGCCGATTCGACTTCAAGTGTGGAGCCGCTGAATATAATTGAAAACTTTGATGCTGAGAATGCCACGGTTGAGAATGTCACAAGTTCATAATCTGGAAAATGGAATGGAATTAAATTGTTACTACTTGAATCTCATAATTTTGTATGTGTTATATCCATTTCTTTCAAATATATTTTGATATTCATTTGATGATGAAATGAACGCATTGATTGCCAGTGTTTAAAGGTTAGTTTTAAATCTGTACACCAAGCAACCAATAACTGAACAGACTGACATGGGCAGTTTTGATTACAAAAGCATTCAGTTCCGCTCAATGTTACTAACAAGTCAACCATGATGTTCAGTCCTAGGATCTGTCCTGCACAAGAGACCTGTGAGGTCTTGTCATTGATCACCACCTATTTTATGGTGCCAAGAATGAATTATAAACCTGGGCAGGATGTCTGCATGCATCCAATGATATTCCTTCAATTAAATATATTCACTAGAAGGAAGCAAGGAAAAAAGTTTAACAAAATTAGCGTTCATACACATGGAAACAATTTTACTCAACCGGTTCCCACACAGTGCTAAACATCTTGTTGATGATGAAAAAACATACATTACACTGGTGTTGTCATAAGCACCACCGTCACCACTATAACTATACAGCACAACCACCACCTTGAACAGTAACAACAAATATTGTACTTGTACAAATCACAAATTCTTGCTCAGGTCACATTTCACATCTAATTTATGATATACACATCCACTGTGTCAGTAAATTTAGTTCTGGTGAACTATTTGTAAACAAAAGCACTTGAAGCTTGAAGAATACACTGCTACAACTGGAATAAAATGTTCCACTCTTCGTTCATTCTTATCAAATTAAACCTCAAACTTAACCATCTAATCCAGTAATGGGGAAATAACTTTCTGTGTTGGGAGATTCAATTTACAGTAAGCAGAGTACAACATGAAAGAACTTCTTAATCTACATGCAACCTGTTGTCTTGCATCTTAATTTAAGTCTTGCCAAATTGTTCAGAAACTTGTTAAATAACAACACCTACAAGAATGAAACTAACTCCTATGTTTACAATTGACATTTATGCTTTCCACAGACTTTATTGAATACAACCTTTCCATCTTAATGTAACCTGTATAATTCCATTCAGTGTGTTTGGATGTCATTTTACAACTTGGTAAGCAATTAACACTGTGAAGGTGGCTGTCTTCTGGAATGCGGCACCATGTAGTCTGGCAGATACTGACCAACATTTCAAAGGTCATATTCATACTCATTGCTGTGAGAACCTCAAATCTCAGAAATTAATATTTCATTGGATTGAATGGATACCATATATTAATAATTAAAGTAACAAATACTGAGGTCACATCTCTATCTATGCCTTACGGTAATGCTCCTACTGAGGTAAAAACCTTGCCACTTCACAAAGCTGAACCAACAACACAGTTCCAGACTGGTGTACTTCCAGCAATAAACACACGAACTTATACAAGTTATAATTAATAATCTGCTACAGTATCTACAAACTATAAGCATGCTGTGTCTAATATGGAAATACAATATCACAAAATTGTAGGAAACAATTTTATTTTAACTCGCATGCACTGCAGATATTGAGTTCCTTCCACAAGATTTTTTTACCGCTGATTAATTTAGAGCATAATAGACACTAATTAAAATAAAGACTTAACAAATGTTTCATAAACACGCAGAAATAATATGCATTATAACCATAAGTTTGAACATCTATAAAGCCAATGGAAGGCAGATACCTGTTATTTTTTAGCAGTTACTACTGAACAGCAACAAATTTCAAAACTCATTACTAAACATTATTAATCCCAAGGTCCAATACATTTTATTCTAAAATCAGAAAAAATTTAAATAGCAGAACATAATAATCTTAAAGAGAATCTGTTTACATAAAGAGAATTTTTCATTAACAGCAAAAATTTAGTTATACTCTTTCATGTGTAAAACAATAATATGTAATTATTAACAATCAACATTTAGGTTAAATTCATGGACACATCATGTTAAAAATCTGGGCTAATCTTAAAAATCATATTATGGTCAATAAGAAGATGGATATATTTATTATAGAATATTAATTATACAGTGAATGGACTGCATCAATCGAATGAAAGTAATAAAGTTCTACTCCTCACCCAACTGTTTAAATCTGAAAACATAAGGTGAATAAGACATTTAGCATGCATGGGGGAAATAAATGTATAATTCTGGTTATAAACTGTGGATCACAGATTGAGAACAGCTTGGTCTACTGGATCCAACAGAACAGGTGTCTCCTCAAACTTTTAAAGATAAGGTGAAGGAAGATCCATCCTTTGAAACAAAAACTAGGTTTACAGATGTTTAACTTTAGGAAAGTTGACTGATAAAGTCCAAAGGAAAGAAATTAATAATATAATACCATTACCAAAGACATTCAGAGAAGAATTGTAAAAGTGTGGACTAGAATGAAATAGTTGAGGATAAGGTACAATGGCAAGTATTTGTGAATAGAGATATGAACCTTAAAGTTCCCTAAGAAAGCAGACCATCTGAATAACTATAAATGGCAAAAGTAGGCTGCGTATCATGGAATTAGTCAGTCAGTATACTGTGAAAATTTACCAGAGACAAAAATACCATTCAGATTTGGGGTTTCATGGTGGTGAAGATGTTGATGTTGGTCTTCTAGTTTATAATGCCATGCGAACTTGGTAGGTAAATACCAGAATTTTGGAGAAACATATTGACTCCATCTCCAGCCTTAAAGATGGAGACAGTATGATTCTCCAAAATGCTGTTATCAACTACAAGTCCACACAGCATTACAACCCAAAGGACCAACATTAACAAATGCCACTGGTTACGCAATTCCCATGCTGCATGACGCTGTGACAGTTATTAGCAGAGACAAAAGTACAAAGACATTACATCACATACGGATCCACAGTTTTCCTTCCAACTATTTAGGGAAACATTTACCGCTTCAGTTTAGTAGCTGATACTTTCACTAGCCCCTTCAGCCTTAATGAAGTTCTTAAAATAATGTTCTATTTTTTATGCACAGAGGAAATTAAAGAAAAGGAAGGTCTTGTACTTACAATTCGCTTGTGGCATCATGGAACACAAGTTACACTGCCCAAACACAAATTCATAAACCAAAATGCATAAACACTTCAAACTCTCTGGTGATACTACAAAAACATGGCCAGCCACTGGACATAACCCACTTGCATGAGATTCATCTCCTCTGATCTGTACCCAGTTCTTTCAAGTGGTCACTTTCTAAGTTTTTCACACAAAATTTCTGAACGCCTTCTCCTCTTCCCCATTTGAGCTATGTATCATAACCCCCCTTCAGTTTTGTACCCTAAATCACAAAGGTTTTCATCATGCAACGTCCTAAATTATAATACTTAACTTCATTCATGTTATGAATATTTACCTGAACACTTTACTTCCAAACACTTGTAGCTTATATTCTTATTATGTCTCTTATTGTCACCACATAATATTTTTAAAATGTGATTTTATAAGCAAACAAAAACACTGTAACAAACAGCTTCTCACATCTCTGGGAAAAAACCAAATAACAAAGATGGCTGTCATCTGGGTTGCAGAACTGTATAGTCTGATAGAAGTTTACCGACGTTTCAAAGGTCATCACTACAACCCACAAGACAGTCAGTACTAACCACCATGAGAGCCTCAAATCCTACTTAATAACCAATGGATTCACATAACTGAAGCATGTACGTTTAATCGTTCCTCCATTTACCATTACGTATTTAAAATTCCTCTGTCACATCAGCGCTACACTGTTTGACACATTAATGCTCCACTTCATAAGAATTTGCATGAATCAAAGTCAGTCATGAAGTAAAATTGCTACAGTGACATTTTTACATATTAATACCTGATAGTGCATACCTCAACTGAAAGCATATGCAAACTCATACTGTTACACAAACCTCCACTTAATGCAATATACATTTAAATAACTGTAAATAAAATATGTTAAAAATGTACCCAATCTGAGCACTGAGATAAATGTACTATAACATGTTGGTTATTGCAGAAAGGATGATTATTACCATTAATGGTGGACAAATGCACGTAGAGCAGTATTTTGAGATCAATTTTCATTTACAAAACCCACACGTTTTACATGTTGGTAATACAAATTTATGATGGTCCTATTACTTTGTCAATCAGCCACAATAAGTACGCATGTACTGCTGTCAATCATAACTGCTGTACCATCTTTGGAAATAAAAATAAGCAGGAATCTCTTTCTTGAACATTAACTATATCCACTTGTTGGTGAAAAAGCTGCATATTTTCATCTACACACATTTCAATTTAGATCAAAATTTACATTAAATAAATTAAAAGCACTTAGATACAAAGGAAATTACTGCCTAGAATGAAACAACAACAAAATTTCATTCAAAACAGTAAACTTTCTCTGCAGGAAACACGAGCAGACAGACTGATGGTAAAGTTCATTGACTGTTCCTGTGGGTTCTTATTGTAATGCAAATGCTCTTTCACTTCTAATACAAACACCATATAAATAATGTTACTATATTTTCTATTTTTAACGATAAGTACAAACTAAATATTGTTGAGGCAAAGTATGTTTTATTGGTATAATATTAAAATAGAGTTATGTGATACATATACAGATCACATTGTTACTAGAAAATGCTCTTTAAAATATTATGCAAAACACAACTGCAAAATATAATGATATCTCTGGTTCTGAATTACAATTAAACCATTAAGTGAACAATGGTCTTAATCAAAATGAAGCACATGGAACATAGAACTACTAGTTTTAGCCCAAGGAAAATTTGGGCGTGTCTTACAACTGAGTACAGATGGCATTACATTAGATTACATTCAAAAGATAAAAATGTTGTACCTATTAGAATTCATATTTGTTTCCCCATACGTCTCCAGTTTTGATAAGTGTGCTGATTTTTCTCTCATCCAAAGGTTTTGCACCACATTATATTAACATGCATTTTTATTCTATCAAAAAAATCACTTTCAACAATGGCTGTAGCTAGAGTCAAACGCATATTCCGAATCTGACACAACAGAAATTTTATGCTCAATATTTGAGATCATAACAAAGTCTAATTTTAGAAATAAATGCATGATGTCGAGGAATATCCAACCATACTTTTCAACAAATGATAAATATTTACATTATGGCACAAGTGAATAAGCTAAGTAACAAAATATTTTTCTTTCTTATGTAGTAACTGCAGTAGTAACAAATAGGTAAATTATTTCACACATAAGCAAGTATATTTTCAAATTTCAGAATGTCAGACATTTTCACTTTGTATAGAGCTAGTCCAAACATGATTCTTTGCTTGTATACCTATTTTTGTACATTTCATTTGAAAAAAGTATAGCAACTAAGTAAATTAAACTGAACTGAACTGTTCAATCTGACAGGTGATTATAAAAATTAATAAATATGGTGCAACAATTTTGTGTTCTATTTGGAAGTTGACTGTTTTCAACCACATAATGATTTTATGTAACATTATCTTGGTCTTTTGAAATATCCAAATCATCTGAAAGCCATATAGGAAGAGTCATGTCCAATACTGACTATGTACTAAAAATTCAAAAATAAATTCTAAGATTCATCTTGTACATAAAAAGGAAAAATATAAAATGTTCTTAAGCTATTAAATATTCATCATTTTTAAGCATTATGAATTCTTTAAAATGTTGTGGTCTGCCTTTACAGGACATATATACAAATACATAATTTACTATTCACTTACACAGCCTTGGCATGACAACAGGTCAGCTACATAGCACTGTACTTTTACGTCCACAAAGAAACAGTTTACATGGACATAAATTCCTATTAAACTAATGGTTTAGAATCTACAACCAAAAGATTTCATCACTTCAAATATCTTACAAGGATAACAACAAACAATTTGCCACAAAATACAATATTAAACAGGATGCAACTTTCAATGATATAATATAAAATACATATAAGACATTGAAGAAACAAAATATTTACAAGTCAGAAATAAAAGCTACCAAATTTATCACTCTGTCCCACTCGCAGTGGAGTGTGCACTTGGTGAAAAATTTGCTATGGGTTAAGAATTCTCATTTACAACATGTGAGTAAAAATTATAAATATTATACCAACAAAATAACTGCACGAGAAAAAGTATCTATACTATTTAAAAACATTCATTTTATAATAAATTACATGTTCAAATCATAATCACCACCAAGAAAATTTAATGATGAATGCCGTGCTAACGTTAAGATACGTCATATATAATTTAATACCTTGTGTTATGGAGCTCATTCGATACCAAATGAATTCACTGTGAATTCATGAGTTCAATTAAAACCATTTAAGTTTATTAAAGCAGTGTTAAAAATTATTTTCACCTGTGTGCACCTGGTGTGATCTCATCCAATCCACTGGTGACAGAGGACCCCCTACGCCACCAAGACATGCAGCAAGTCTTACTCAGATGCTGTGGGCACAATTTCAGGGGACACGGCCTAGAATGGTCTGTTTTGACAATAAAACACAGTTTAACTTCACTGAGGAATAGCCCATGCAATGGGAGCATTCTACACCCAAGGATGCATGTGAGCAAGGAAACAAATGTTTTCAAGTTTCATAGTGAACTGACAGAGATACAAAACCAATCTAGGACCTATGAAAATTGCAAACTTGTCCAGGTCTGAGTGCAAAATTTTCATATCTTCATTTTCTATAGCAATTTTTAGTTCTCTGACAAGTGCAAATCCATCAACAAGTTATTCAAGGAGCAAGTTATCTGCCGCCAGCAAATCGGATGGAATGTACCCATAAGTTTAGAAGCTTCAGCAATGCTTCTTTTATTATGCGCCCTTCACATAACAATATTGATTAAAAAGTTTGAAAGTTTTATATCCAAATACTATTTACAAATTTATATACTTACAATATCTGCATGCTGTTGCAGCATATCAACATTAGCATTTTCAACTTCTGAATAAACATCTACACAGCTTGTGCTATAGGCACGGGCAATTCTATTTTAAACAAGCATTAATCCTTGCTTGAGCTTACCCGATATAATTCTCTCTTCTCCTGAGC